CACAGGCGCCCAAAGATTTCCAAGAACAAATCGAAATAGGGGCATTTATTGATCAATTACAAGATGCGGAAATGCAGCAAGTCCTACGTCTACAACATTACAAAACGCTGAGTGAGAAACTGATTGCAGCCCAGGAATATGAAGCGGTAAAACTTCTATCCAGATCTTCTCGCACAAAAGTGAGGGAAATTAAATCACAGGAAAGTGAGGAGGCCAATACTAATGCTATTTTCCAAATCTTAAATATCTTACGAAATATGCAACTAAACAGCCCAAATGGAAGCAGGAGGTGCTTCAATTGCGGAAGAAGCGGGCATCTTCAAAGAACCTGTAGAAGCATGGCTCATTCTATAAATCGAGAATCAGCGAATGAAACCGGAAAATCATATAGATCAATCTTTCCAAGCCCATCACTAAGACCAACAAGAATTAATTACAGCAGCTATGCGTCCCGAAGAAGCTAATCACCTACACCAAGCCGGCTTTCTAATAATAACCAGAAAGTAGAGCATTGAAGAGGTCTCCATAGCAACGCAGATATTCTCTTCAGGCAACCGCGTTTAGAGAAACGATGCTGGTATGGTAAAAGGCTCGAAGAACGAGAAGAACCGGTTGATAAAGTTACTCTTCGGGCAACCACTATCAAGTCAAAGGGCGACGAAGAAGAAATCACCCTTGAAAGTCTGAGACAGGGACAGAAGAAAGACAATGACTTAAAGGTTCTCCGAGAATGGCTCAAAAATAAAGTCCAAGAGATAACCAAATACAGTAGAACTATAAAAGGCTACTGGACCCAGTCATATTCCCTGTATCTTCACAATGGCCTATTGCATCGGAAGTGGGAGAGCCCCGATGGAGTTCATGTAGTCCGCCAAGTGATACAGTCAAGATCACAGGCGAGTAATGTATTGAAGCTTTATAGCAGCCGTTCAGGAGAACCCTTTAATACTAAAAGAACACTGGAACGAGTTCGAGAAAGATTTAATTGGGTGAATTGCCGACGGGAGGTAGCGGATTGGTGTAAAAAATGTGATGTATGCAATGGCAGGAAAAAGGTCTATGAATTTGCTCGGGAACGACTGAAAGCCCACACCGATAAAGCAGAAACTAGAATCGACATGCGTGCCACAGATACACATTTTAAGAGGGGCGACAAGGTATGGCTGTGCAATCCCAAGCAGCGAGGAGGACTTCGTCAGAAATCGCAACGGAACTCGGAAGGCCCCTACTCCGTCCCTAAGGAAAATCAACGACCTGATCTGCCGCATTCAACTGTCAGCGGGAAGTAAATCCAACGTAGTTCACATTCCTCCCCATTATCTGATGTGCAAAATTTATTTTTGAAGGCAGTCTCAAAAATAGAGAACATTGGAGAAAATGCATTGATCATGTTACAAAGGTGGAAAATTCATTTTGGAAAGTGAATATAAAAATGGAAAACTTAATAGACCCTATAATAATAAACCTCAGAGAAGACAAAGATACCAGTAGATATAGTAAAGACACTTTTAAAGGTAGTTTTTGTATTTTTAATTATTTTAATGTTTGATTGGCACTAAAGTGTTACTTTTAATGCCAAGAGATTAAAAAAAGTTTAATACCATTAACCCTTTCCGATACGGCGTACACTGTAGTGTACATTGATTTTATATACTAGTAATAAATTTTTTCCAAATAAATTTACTGCGAGTCATGTAGTACACGGTTTGGACTGACGGCTTGATCTATAAAATGTTTGTAAAGGATTACCCTGTGTACATTGTGAAAAAAATTCTAAGTTACTTACAAAACAAAACATAATACAATAAAATAAACGACACCAAAACAGGACAATACACCGCTAAAGCAAGTGTACCTCAGGGTTTGGTACTCTCGCCCTACCTGTATACCATCATGATCCATGACATACCCATGGGTAATGGTGGTATACAGACGGCACTGCACGCCGATGGCACTCTCAGAAATCGCCATGAGAAGGCTGGAGATCCACACGAACAGAACGTTAGTCCCTTTCTTGGATAAAAATAAAATCAAAATTTATCCTCAGAAAACTGAAGCAGTTTTACTAACAAAAATGAGATCTAACAGAGTTACAACAGAACTGAAAGTACAACAAAATACAATACTAACGGCTAAGCACCTTAAATACCTCGACACTGTGCTCGATAAGGGGCTATCGTTTAAAAATCACATTATTGAGCAAGCTAACAAAGCTACGGCTATGATGCGCATTCTGTACCCAATGCTACATAGACGTAGTGGAGTTACTTGTGATAATAAATTACTGTTATATAAGCAAATCATCAGACCTATATTAACGTACTGATCTTCAGTTTTCTGTTCCGTAGCTGACAGTCACATACAAAACTGCAAAGAATCCAAAATAAGTCTATTCGGCTGGCCCTGGGGTATGACCGCTACACCAGAATAACAGACATGCACCATGAAATATCCATGTCTACTGTCAAATAGTATATAACTACCACTGAAGATAAATTTGAAATTTTACAAACACAGTCTATCAAATTACGTAAAAGAAGACATACTATCTTAACACAGCGGAAATGCCGGAGACAGGAGGCATGGACGGGACAAATAACAAGTAGATTCTCAGCAACACCCTCTTTACTGAGACAAATTCACTAAGAACTGTTAAATTAATATTAAAAGATTAACTGTTTAATTAAGATGAAAGCGATGTTGCCAGTTTCCATAAACTTTCATGAGATTAGAGTTGAATCAAATGCATAAGCTTCATCCTGCACCTTATTTTATTTTTGTCGTACTTAATACTATCCATACAATGGCAATACTATTGCTGGAATGTTTTAAATAGAGGTTTGACAACTGTGTTGATAACCTCGTTAAAAATGAAAAACGGAATGGCGGAAGGCGAAATGGTCGAAAAACTCACAAGAACCATCATAAAATAAAAGTTATTATGATGTAGGATGTAGTGGATATAATTATCCTTCCTCCATGGGATATAGTTCCATAGATAGGTAAGTTATTTTTAGGTTGAGAAGATTGATAAGTGCTGATTTGATGTAATTAGTAAGTATTAACAATTTAATTTAATAAGGTGTTAGATTTGTTAAAGGACTTTGTTTATCATTGTTTGCTTATAGCCTTAACGCGAAGTATAATCTCATTTTGGATCGATTTTCAATTACTTTTTAATATACCTATTTGTAACAAAACCAGTCTGGCCAGGGTAAAATTAAGTCATCTTGTTCAGCCCCTAATTGTTTACATTAGTATTATTCTAATATTAAGCAGATTAGTTATTCAAATAAAACCTTTTTTCATTTTCCTTCCGATATTAAAATTTGCGAGTACTGGTTTAAGAATTTAAATTTATCTTTAGTTAATAAAATGCGAGATCTTTGTGAAGATCATTTTTTGCCTGATTCTTTTATTACTCAACCCGAGAGTCAGATTTTAGAAAATGTTGAGGCTGAAGCACATACACAGCAGCATAAGATAGATTTGGTAATCTGCAACGAAGAAATTATTTTCAAACGTAAACTTAGTATTAGTGATAAACAATATGAACAACCCTCTGTTAAAAATGAAAAGAAATTTTCAAACTCAAATTTGTTAGATGTTAGATCAACTAGAACCTATTAGTTAAAATATAATTCAAATTTTAGACAAATTAATAATATCTTTTACTTTTATAAGAATGGGCAACAATTTAATAATAGAAATTGTTCAATAAGATGTAAGTATGTTCACTTTTTTGTTTTTATAGGAAATATCTGACACCAGCATCAAAATTTGGTCCAGTCTTCCAAGAATGAGAGGAGAATACTATTATTTTCACTTACAGTTATTGTTATTTGTACATATTATGTATGTAATAAATGTTTGAATAAGGTGCATTCAAACATTTATTACATACACAATGCAACAATTTTGTCAGAAGCATAAGATGTTTTAATATAAAAGTCTACACTAAGTGATGCAGAACTTTTTAGGAAGAATATTTTTTTTTGTGAAATGAAACATTTTTTCTTAGGTGTATAAAACTGTTTGAAACACACTGTGGCAATGTTAACAATAAAGTATTTTCAGAGGTTGTTGTTAAAGACGTCGCAATTTATTATACGGTGTTTTTCAAAAATTTTTATAGACGTTAGAAAAAGAAAAATTCTTTGCATCATTTGGAAATCCATAATCAAGAATTAACTTTGTATATTGTTTTTTAATAAATAAAGTAAATCGAAATCACTCAAAAATAAGTGCAATTTTAAGTACATATTTTCCTGTCAACATGTTACTTGATATATTGCTGTACATTCAAATTGTTGAATTATTTTAATTTTCACTATAAAATCATATTTATTTTCCCTGTATACCACTTAACCACCTATATTTTACAAAATTAATGTTTTATTACATGCAGAGTATTTGATCAAGAATATTTTTTAATTTTTTTTTCTCGTATGTCTATATTTTGTTTGGAACACACTGTATAATAAACTGCGACGTACTCTTTGAGCAAGTTGTGCAAAGAATGATGTAAACTCAGTTTAGCTAAGAGGAGTTTCGTTTTAACTGGTTATATTCAACGTACAAATGTCAGTTTTAAAAATATGTTTAGCAATAACTGATGATTATAGAAAGAGGTTCACAGTTTAAACTATTATTAGATTTTAACTAGCCCAAAAAGGTTATTTATAATTGTATCGGTGAGTTCAAAATTTGACATTTTAAAGTAAGATAGCCATTTTGTTTAAAATTTGTCTCTTCATCGATTGAGCCTAAAAACCGTTCTAGTTACCTATTCGTTAAATTAGTACAGCTGATTACACACGTGAAATTAGGTGAAAAACCGTACATATTCGTAACTCGTTAAAAGGTTTTTACTGTTTTTCTCGGAAGGCTGATTTTGGACATGTACGGTTTTCCAACTCACCGATTCAATTTAACATCCTAGTTATTTTCGCGTATTTTTAACATTACAAAAACATAATAAAGAACTTTATAATACTAACCTAATATTCCTAAGCGATAGTTAATAGATACCAAAACTATGTCTTCCAGCATTAAAAATTCAGGACCATAAATATCCGTATTATTTCGACCTTCTCTAAAACCACCTCCATGAATCCATACCATTACAGGGTTTAGTTCAGGTCCCTGCAGTATTGGCTGTATAATTAAACAGATAGTAAAAAATTATAATACTAGAAAAGTTTGGACAGTAGAAAGTGTGGTGTTAGGCAACTCATATTACATATATTTAAGTTAGTTACTTTGAGACTTAGTTATTGACACACCTGGAAGTGAGGTTAGGTGAGCTAGCAACGTGGTCGAGAGAGACTTGTATTATTTTGGAGTTAATAAATGTTTAATTAGCAGAACTTTTATTAGTTATTCTACATGGTGGCAGCGGTAAACTATTTGAATTAAACTGATTAAACTAAACAATCAATAAACAAGATGGTCCCCACAACAGGGACAGTAACAACACCTACGGGTACAGCAACGACTTCGGCTGTAAATGAGATATTTCCGAACATATCAGCACCAAGTGAGTTTTGTTTTACTCAACCGGAAACCTGGCCACAATGGAAAAAAAGATTTGAGCGGTATTTATCAGTGAGTGGGTTCAGTAGAAAAACCGACAAGGAAAAAGTTGATATGCTACTTTATCTGATAAGAAATAAAGCCGAAGAAATATTATCACAGTTCAACATAAACACGGATGACTATGCAATTATTATTAACAAGTTCGATGAACATTTTATCCCTCAAAAAAATTTAATTTTTGAGAGATTTAAGTTTAACTCAAGGGTACAAGGACCAGCGGAGTCCGTGGAATCTTTTATTACGGCATTGCACACCTTATCTGAACACTGAAATTATGGGGTACTTCGTGATGAATTAATATGAGACCGAATTGTAGTGGGTATCCTAGATATTAAAGTCAGTGATAGATTACTACTACAAAATAATTTGACCCTAGCCGATGCAGTTCTCTCAGCAAAGCAAGCGGAAATCCAGAGTTTCCAAAATCAAATTTTAAGGCAAGAAAGTAGAGTCGTAGCTGCGATCAAGAATAAACAACTTCAAAAAGAAAAAATTAAATGTGGCTATTGCAGTCTAGAAACGTGTAAGGATCGAAGCAAATGTCCAGCTAGGGATGCTATTTGTAGGAGCTGCAACTGGAAAGGACACTGGAGCAGCGTGTGCCATGGAAAGAAAGGAGTACATTTAGTGGACGTGGAGCAGGAACCAACACACGAGTCGACTGCTGGTAATATTCGGACTTTGGAGGTAGGAAACACAGATCATAGGCCAAATTATAAAGAAATATGAAAATTGCAAAGAACAGTGGTTTGTTGACATCACTATCAATAATAAGTCTAAGAAATCATTTTTAGTAGATACGGGAGCAGATGTGTCATGTATGTCAGATAAACATTTGCCTCCCAATTATTTAAAACAAATTTTGAGTTGCAATGAACAAATAGGTGGAGCTGATAACACCAATTTAACTGTTTAAGGTAAAATGAAACTTTATTTGAGATAAAAGCAAAATGATTATGTAAACACTGTGTATATCATTAAAGATTTGAAGGTTCCTATTCTTGTAATGTCCGATATTGTAAATTTAAAAGTTCTAGATATACCAGAAACAATTAGTAATCGGGGGTTAAACAGCATAAGTATTATAAATAATCACTCACTAAACATACAAAGTAAATTCAATAAACAAAAAATTGCTGCAAGGTTTCAGGGTATATTTGATGATGTGGGTGAAATTTCATCTGAAATGACAATACAGGTGGCTCCAGAAGCCAAGCCATTTGTGCAATCAGTACCTAGAACAGTACCTTTGCCCCTTATACCTAAATTAAAGGCTGAGTTAGATCGTTTGTTAAGACTAGAAATTATAGAACCTATAAATATACCAACAAAATGGGTAAGCCCTATAGTTTGTGTAGATAGGGGGACTCAGTTCGTTTGTGTTGCGATTAAATCAGAGTGTTTTAAGAGCTCATTTCCCTTTACCAAAAATAGAACACAGTTTATCTCAAGTAGGCGGTTCAAAATTTTTTTCAAAGCTAGATGCAACTAGTTGGTTTTACCAAATAAAATTAGATAAGGAAAGCCAGAACAACCTTTATAACACCTTTTGGCAGGTATTATTTCAAACGTCTTCCTTTTGGTCTTTCCTGTTCTCCTGAATATTTTGCACTAAAATTTTCAAAAATTTTGACTGGCTTAGAAGGCATGGATGATATTATTATACATGCTAGTTCGATGGAGAATCATGACAAAATATTAAAAAACGTTTTAACTAAGCTATACTCTGAAGGTATTATTCTAAATGAAAAAAATGTGTAATAGGGGCCACAAAGGTAAAATATTTGGGGCATATAATTTCAGACGAGGGTATAGCAATAGACCCAGATAGAGTGAATGCTATTCGAGATTTTCCAAGTCCACAGAAGAAAACAGAGTTGTTGAGAGTTTTAGGTATGATAAACTTTGCAGGAAAATATGTAAATAATAAGTCAGAAATATTAGAACCTTTAATCACGCTCTTGAAAAAGGGTGTAGAATTTCAGTGGTCCTCTTTACAAGAAAATGCTTTCAAAACCATTAAGAAACTATTGGAAAACTCTATCTTTCTTTGATGCTAACATAACTATAATTGTTAGTGCAGATTCAAGTTCATATGGTCTAGGTGCATGTATAAGACTAGAGAAATCGTAGCTTTCTCTTCCAGGTTATTAATACAAGTGGAAGGTAGATATGCACAAATCGAAAAGGAAATATTAGCTCTAACATGGGCAGCTGAAAAATTTTCGATTATATTACAGGAATTAAAAATCTAATATTCGAATCTGACCATAAGCCTATCCTTCAAATATTGCAAACTAAAAATATAGATGATTTGTCACCTAGACTACAACGATTCCGGACGCGATTAATGACGTATAGATATCAAGTTATTTACACCCCAGGAAAAAACTTAGTCATTCCCGATGCTCTAAGTAGAGGCCCACAAACAAATTCAGTGCCTGAAAATGATGAACTAACAGATAAAAAGGTAGATAAGTACATTTATTCGATTATAAAAAATTTCCAATTAAAGACTGTTTTTTATCACAAATCATTCAGGAACAAGGTAACGACCCTGGCCTAAAAAAAATTAAAGAGTATTGTTTAACTCAATGGCCCGAAAAATCTAAAATGCCCATTGAATTAATGCCATTTTATCAACACAGATATGACATATCTTTTAATGAAAATATGCTTTTAAAAAATTCCCGAATAATTATACCTAAGACACTACAGTTACGATGTCTGAATTATATTCATACAGGGCACTTAGGGGTGGTAAAGTGTAGGAAACGTGCTAAATCCATTGTTTGGTGGATGGGACTATCGTCTCAAATTGATAATCTTATCCGTAATTGTCCAGAATGTGTAGAAAACAGAGTAAATGTGAAAGAAAAATTCCATAAAGATGAAATAGTATTGAGACCTTGGGCAAAAATTGCAGTCGATTTATTTAAGTTAGACAAATAGTAGAAAACTAGCCAACGAAAAAGATGCTTTGGAGAAGACGCCCCAAATGGATAAAATTAATGATACAATAAACAGAAAAATCACTAAGAACGAATAATGAACCAAATAATCAGAAGGTCCCCTGAGAAAAATAAACCTACACAGCAGTGGCGGCTTGTAAACAAAAAATTGGAGGTTCACAATGACAGAATATAGATCTCAGAACAGATTTAGGTAAGAAACTTTCAGTTTTTATAATACACCTTTCCAAAACACTGAAAGCTTTTTACCTAAATCTGTACCGAGACCTATATTATCTAATTGTGAACCTCCAATTTTTTGGCCACAAGCCGCCATTGCTATATAGAACAAAAAGAAAAATGAGAAGTAGCAAAAAAGTAAAACAAGAAAATAAACGGCACATGAGAAAAACATGAACATAGCAAAGAGTACAGATAGATAGGTGAGAAGATAAAACTAAAACCAGAAAATATAAAAATAAGAGAATAATAATTAAATTATAATGCTCGAAAGGGTATAAAAAAATGAATTAGGTAAATACTATGAACTGTGAAATAATATTAAAGAAAGTAGGTACCTACTATAAAAATATGTTGATGTGAGGTCTAAAAAGAGGGATACAGTTCTAAAGTCTAATTTTATCAAGGTTCAGTTCTCAATGTGAAATTTTTTGGCACAACCTTAACTAAGGTACATTATATTTTCTATTGTAAAAATTTATGGAATTGGAAGGTTATCATTAAACGTCACGATAGTTAAAAAAAAATAATAAAAATATAGTATTCACCTTTCTCGTAAAAATATTCATGTGAAGACCATCCTCGGTTCCAGAAACAACCTTTGTCATGGTAGTTATACTATCAATTTGATAAAATTGCACGCCTTCGTTCGTTGCATCTTTAATTCCTGTCCAAGCATCTAAGGGTTGTGGATCCTAAAATAGAAATAATTTTTTAGTCCAAAATTAATAAGAATATTGTATAGCACTCATGTTTTCAAGTTTCTACTATTTTTTCGAACCATAAAAATAATCATACAAGTTTACCTTTCATTTTTTGGACCTAGATTATAAAGACTATTTTTAACTACTTTAATATTATTATTTATTCAAGGGTAATATACCAAGACCTTGAAAATAGTCAGATATTTTTGTTGAATATAAATCTCGAGAATATTTTAATATCAATTTGATAAGCCACAATTTTTAGCATTAATAATCTGATTAATAATGTCAAAAAAATCCCCGGGGATAAAATCCCCGACGACCAATTGCTTGTTTCCCAAAATTTGTGATTATAATATTTCTTATTGTAATGTGTACATTTTGTTTGCGTTAATTCTTGAAATAAGATTTTTAGCTTTGTTATTATAGTTATTTTTGTATCTAGTGCGCGAAATGCTACTTTGGTGATCATGAACTGATTTAAAAAAAAAAAATAGTCGAGATCACCAAAGTATTTCGCGCGTGATATTTATAACTGTAAAATAATGGAAATTTCGAGCGACGATGAAGTAAGCAGTACCCCACCTAACTTGACAGATGCGGCCAATTCAGTAATTTCAAATCTTTTACCGGAGAAATCGAGGCGCCAGTATGAAAATGCATATCAGCAATTTAAAGAGTGGTGTGAAGCAAATAAAGCCAGAAAAATATCCGAAAATGTGCTGTTGGCATATTTTGCAGAAAAGTCTAAGAAGCTGAAGTCTTCCACGTTATGGGCAATATATTCTATGTTGAAAGCAACACTCAATGTTAAAGAAAACGTGGATTTTAAGAAATTCACCAAGTTGGTTTCATATTTGAAAAAATTGTCAGTTGGAAACCATCCTAAGAAATCTAAGGTATTGACTAGAGAGGAAGTTGAACAATTCATAAGAGAGGCAGATGATGAAACCTATTTGTTTGTTAAGGTAGATTTTTGATGATTGTTTTATGTGCTTTTTAAATTACTGATTTCCTTTTAGGTTGTTTTACTACTGGGTATTTCGGGTGCTTGCCGCCGTGAGGAACTCACTAAAATGACGGTCGATTACATAGAAGATAAAAATTCCATTTTGATTGTTAAAGTACCCGATACAAAAACGAATATACAACGAATTTTTACAGTTTCAAATTTAGATTATATTGACATTTACCGAAAATATGTGGCTCTTCGTCCAAGTTATGCTACCAGTCGCCGATTGTTTTTGAAGTAACAAAATAAAAGATGTTTTAACCAAGTTGTTGGAATAAATAGTATTGGAAAGATGCCTAGCTTAATAGCAAAATACCTAAAATTACCAAATCCTGATGCCTACATGGGCCATTGTTTTCGGAGAACATCAGCCACACTCCTTGCTAATACGGGGGCCGATATATGTGCTTTGAAGCGACATGGAGGATAGAAATCTTCGACTGTGGAAGAAGGATACGTGGAACATTCTATCAACAATAAAATTCAAACATCAAATAAAATTTTAGACTGTGAAATTTCAGGATCAAGTGCTGTCAACTCTACGGCAGTTGCTTGCAAATCAAAAATGGATAGTCTTCCAACTCCCAAAACTACGATATCACGAGCTGAATCTGAGTTATCTGGTTTAGGAATAAATATTGGTTCGTACACTGGCTGCACCATTAATGTTAACATTGTAAATAATAAACAAAATTAGGTAGTGTTAAATTTTCTCACAATTTGAAAGCCTTAATTATTGTTATACATTAATAAATAAATGATTTCTTTGATTTTTGCTTGATTGAGGGTCACTTCGCATATTGTTGTCAATGCGCGAACCTTGTTATTTTTTGACGTTTGTAGAAAAAGATAATTATTCATAAATTTAAATTTATGATCGATATTGGAATTCATGAGTTTATGGTTAGAATACAATTTCGGAGTTGTGCGAGTTTATGGTATTTTAAGCAATCATTTTTTGTATTCAAGGGGTTTCTTTACCGGGAAATCGAAAAATTAAAAAAATCAAAAAATCGAAAAATTAAAAAATTAAAAAATCAAAAAATCGAAAAAGCGAAAAACCAAAAAATCGAAAAATCGAAAAATCGAAAAATCGAAAAATTGAAAAATCGAAAAATCGAAAAATCGAAAAATCGAAAAATCGAAAAATCGAAAAATCGAAAAATCGAGAAATCGAAAAATCGAAAAATCGAAAAATCGAAAAATCGAAAAATCGAAAAATCGAAAAATCGAAAAATCGAAAAATCGAAAAATCGAAAAATCGAAAAATCGAAAAATCGAAAAATCGAAAAATCGAAAAATCAAAAAATCAAAAAATCAAAAAATCAAAAAATTGAAAAATTGAAAAATTGAAAAATCGAAAAATCGAAAAATCGAAAAATCGAAAATTCGAAAAACCAAAAAATCAAAAAATTGAAAAATTGAAAAATTGAAAAATTGAAAAATCGAAAAATCAAGAAATCGAAAAATCGAAAAATCGAAAAATTGAAAAATCGAAAAATCGAAAAATCGAAAAATCGAAAAATCGAAAAATCGAAAAATCGAAAAATCGAAAAATCGAAAAATCGAAAAATCGAAAAATCGAAAAATCGAAAAATCGAAAAATCGAAAAATCGAAAAATCGAAAAATCGAAAAATCGAAAAATCGAAAAATCGAAAAATCGAAAAATCGAAAAATCAAAAAATCGAAAAATCGAAAAATCGAATCGAAAAATCGAAAAATCGAAAAATCGAAAAATCGAAAAATCGAAAAATCGAAAAATCGAAAAATCGAAAAATCGAAAAATCGAAAAATCGAAAAATCGAAAAATCGAAAAATCGAAAAATCGAAAAATCGAAAAATCGAAAAATCGAAAAATCGAAAAATCGAAAAATCGAAAAATCGAAAAATCGAAAAATCGAAAAATCGAAAAATCGAAAAATCGAAAAATCGAAAAATCGAAAAATCGAAAAATCGAAAAATCGAAAAATCGAAAAATCGAAAAATCGAAAAATCGAAAAATCGAAAAATCGAAAAATCGAAAAATCGAAAAATCGAAAAATCGAAAAATCGAATAATCGAAAAATCGAAAAATCGAAAAATCGAAAAATCGAAAAATCGAAAAATCGAAAAATCGAAAAATCGAAAAATCGAAAAATCGAAAAATCGAAAAATCGAAAAATCGAAAAATCGAAAAACCGAAAAATCAAAAAATCGAAAAATCGAACAATCGAAAAATTGAAAAATCGAAAAAGAAATTCCGTAACGAAAATAAACCTAACACCCTTCACTTCAACCGGCTCAGCAGTGCGGCGTTGAAAGCCGTGCATCGTCTAACGTCGTTTCAGTTCGGCAGACTTCGGCACGGTGTTTGTGTGCGTGCGACTAGACGTATACGTGTATACTAGCTGCTAACTGATTCTCTCTTTTAGATACAATTTCGGAAAAATTTAATTTGAAAATGAATAATGATCCACAAGAATCCACAACAAAATATGGGACCACCAATGACGCGGTATTTTCCAGATATTTAAAAGATATCAAGTCTCAAACTTATGTTTCTAATTTCAGTTACCATAAACCTATAGTTACAATGATAAAAATTCCTGAATAACCTACATGTATTGTAAGATAATAAAAATATTTTAAACAATATTAACGTTTATTATCGGTTTTCTTATCGGTCACCACTCTCAAAAAGTGTAACTTGAATTAATATCAAAGAAAAAACTTGAATTAATATCAAAGAAAAAAAATACTGCATAAATAAAATAAATAAATAATTATAATTGCACAAGTTTATAAAAAATGCTATGCAATAGCTTTACCGCGGCAGTCCCCGAGTGCCACAAGTATTTATATATTTTTTTCGTATTTTTAATTTTTTTTTAATCTTCACATTTTATTATATTTTTATTCTTCGATTTCTAGCATTAAATTGTTCTGCAATTGGAATTTTCCAATACATGATTTTAAAATAACCCATCTTCTTAAGTTTACTGTATTTATGTATTTTTGAAAACGCTTTGTTTTTATTATTATAAAAAAAATAATGATTAGATTTTACATCTTTGTTTTTAAAATAAATATATCTACACAAATAAGATTTTTTATAACGAATTACAAATATATATGATGTATTTTTAATGAAATTAATAATACACCTACAACTTTTCATGTATTTATCTTTTAAGATTGGTATCTATAAGTGATAAGAGATCTAATAATAATAGACAATGAACTTAAATGAATGTTTTTGTTAATATATTTGAAAATTGACAAATTAAAAAGTTATTTAGATCTAAAAACTCATCTCCAGTGGTGTATGAGACGAATTAAGAATGGGACATAGAACAACTGAAGATAATAATAATAATAATATTACAATAATTCACTTCCTTACGAGTTAATTTCAACCCCTGAAGTAGACTGAATGACTTGTGTAGGCGAAGGGACGGCTATTATTATTTGCTGTGGCGCTCCGGGGCGACTTAAAGATGATTGATGGTGCCATTTGACATACAGGTGAGGAAAACCCGGAAAACCTCACTTACCATCATCGAGGAGGTAACGCATGGCGATTTTATAATATGCATGTCATATCAACAAAAATTTAATTTATATTAATACAGCACACATCAAATTCTATAACGAACCGTGCAATTCAATTAAAATCCACATTATCTGGTGTAGGATTCGATACATGATTTATTTAAAAAACAGCAAATTAAATTATAGTCCAAATAAGTTTTTAGAAAGTGCGGTTTAGTGTTATACGTTAATGATAGTGTAACTAATTAATTAGACTTTACTTGGGGTATTTAAAAAAAAAGTTCTATAATGTATAGCTGTCTTATCTAGGTCAAAAAGCATGTTCTAATTTTTAATAGAAATAATTGATTTTCATAAAGTATGCAACGTCATTTTATTTTTATAGTTTAATGCTGCGTTGCTATAACATTAGGTATTCAAAATCTTGGAGTAGGGGAATTAATGTCGATGGTGATATGGATAAATACAAAGTCCTGCTAAATGACTCATTTTTGCTAGAATCCATTTGAAATTTTTTACACCACAAATACCAGTTTTCAAAAAAGGAAATGTACAAATTATTGAAAAGTTTCGGTCAATCACCATGTCTCAAGTTTTTTAAAAATATTTGAGTACTGCTTCTTAGAAAATCAACATGGGTTTTAATACAAAAAAATGTACTACCATAGTAGCAGATGGTAGTTATTATCAATAAATCGATAGTTTTTTTAGATCCAAGTGAGTGTTTTGCTGTGATTTTTTATGATCTTACATTTAAAAAGAACCTTCCCTTTCTGAAATCTAAATAAGGAGTACCAAATGTTTCCTCTTTTAGTATAAGAAGTACCAAATGTTTCCTCTTTTAGTATTTGAGGGAACCTAAAATAAATGTCTCGGTAGTTATGTAAAAACAATAATTGAATCGGTGAGTCCAAAATTTGACATTTTCATCGATTGAGCTTAACACTTTACCTAGTCGTTAACGTAGCACAGCTAATTTTTACCAGTGAATTGAGGAGAAAAACCGTACATGTCCGTGACTCGTACGGTTTTTCATCTTAACAAAATAATGGTCAATTGCTATAGGGCGAGATCATAGAATAAGCAAGCCTGCACCTTTGCAGATTTGCAAGTATGACGGACTTACAGATACAAGCATCTGCAAATCTACCATATTTATTGTGGTTTATTACCACCTAACATCATCTGTTAACAAATTTATGTTGATATCACCAGTAATTATGTGGTTTTTGACCTTACAACTTGAAAGATAGTTTAATAAATCTAAATTATATAATTTCGGACAAGAACTGGGAGATCTGTAGACTGCCGTTATTAAGATTGGATCTGGTATATTTAGTATTTTTAATTCAACTGCATTTGAAACACCCAATTTAATCAAATTATAGTTATAAGTAAATTTGTCGCAGATATATACAACAACTCCATCATGTGAGTTGAAGTTGCCGGAATTATAAATTATGTTATACCCCCTTATTTTATATAAATCAATATCATATATAACATGTGTTTCAGTAAGGATCAGCACATCAAAATCTAATTGGTTAATTAATAACAGAAAATTATCAAAGTGTTTATGGATACTTCGGATATTTTTATGTAAAATCTTTACTTGATTTTCTTTGTTTAGTATTGATGATATTTCCGAAAGATTTTGTATCTATCACATTGCTAGAAATTGTTTGAATATTATAGTCTCTTATAAAGGGATCCATTTAATAATGTTATTAATTGTAGTAAATAAATTAAATCAAAGACACTTTTACCTTTTACTTCTGGATGTGTTTACCATCTACGCTAGATTGAGATTGTGATCTTAAATGTCTATTGCTAGAAGTTTGAAGGTTCTTGTTTCCATTGTATCCATCCTTCGCCACGTCCATCTTTTGAATACCTGTTGTTGCAGTAAAAGCATTCCGCATCATAATCGCTTTCTGATGATTCTATGCTCTTTTTTTTTAATTTTTTCGTTTTGATTAAAGGCTTTTTAGATTTTTCTTCATTGAGTAAGTTGATGTTTGTTTTTAAAGCTATCTTCTTAACATTAACTTTTTTATTTCTTTCCTTTAAAGAGTTTTCCAATTCTTCCTTATAAGGGGTGCTCGTAAGAATGGCAGCTTTTTTTTTATTTGTAGTTTTTCAAATATCAAGCTTACGAACTTTGGGATAAGGAGCAATTTGTTCAGGACTTATCAAAGTTATACCTTTGCTCGTGGATGGCATATCATGTAAAGCACTTCTTTTGACAACCTCGGAATATTTGATAAGAATAGCCATTATTTGTTTAGGTAGAGATTCTCTATTAGGGTCACTCGGGTGTAGCTTCTCTATTAGTTTCAATTTCGCGTATACCTTCCGAATTAGCGTTATGTTCGGGTGGATCATCTTCGGAATCGGAAGAAGATGGTACAACATCATCCTGTTTTTTTGGTTTGTCTGTTGGAGGTGTTGCAATAAACATATCCTCGGTAAATAGAGTGCGGTTTACTGGGTACAGTCCAGTTTTTTCAAATCCATTAATAGCATTTATCGGAGTAGAAGCACGAAGATATGCTTTGCTAAATAAATAAGGAACTTCGCTTATAGTGATGCATCGCCAGGAAATGGCTTCAGTCTAGCATTTTCACAGTGTTGTCACATGATCTGCTGGTACATTATTGTCTTTATTTTATTTATTTTTTTGCATACCCAAAATCTCACAAGGTCTTGTTCGAGGTAATAGAATAATTTCGACGGGAATTTTCGTTTGCACCTCTTCGTCTGGTTACAGTTTTTAATATAGCAAGACCCTTAACATATTCACGTTTCTCAGGCCATGATTTTTTCCAACATTTTTCAAATAACGCATGTCTCTTATTTTCGTTAATATTTTAGCATTGTAACGAATTACTATTTTTAGATAATTTAAAGTTACATGGATTTGTCAAAAAATTTTCCTGTTTAGCTATTTTGTAGTACCAGTTTCCATCACACTTTTTTTGCCTTTATATTGCAAGCCCAAGTCTCTTTTCCTCTTATTTTCTTGGTAAGTCACGTCCCTTCTTGCAATGCTCAGCTTTCTGTTTTTTCTTCCATTTTGTTTGGATTTATCTTCTTCTTCTTGATTTTTCTCTTCACCTTTCCACCTTCATCGCTGGATTTATCCGAACCATGGGCTATAATTTCCTCTTCTATTCCTTTAATACTTTTATTTTCACTGGTATCATCCGATTGAACTGAAGGGTGGTAGTCTGTATCGCTGTTTTTCCCCATTTCATCTTGATTTTCAGAACCATCAATATTGTTTTGAATTGCAGAAATATCACTTAAAAGATTACTTTCAATTTGTTTAAATTTGAATTCTGGTATATGTCATTGATTCAAACCGCTATGTCAAACAGCACGTTTGACAACCCACAAGAAATATATATATAACGGAAACAGCCGAAGGCTGAACACGTCATACACTTTTATTTCATAAATAATAAAAAAACCAACGCCTAAAAATAAACAATAACAATGCACAAGCCCTAATAAATAATTCTAATAGTTAAAATAATAAACAACTCACATAAATAATAATAAATAAGAATAATTAGATAATCCCTCCATAATCAAGCTCCCTTATTGGCCAAACGAAAGGGTTTAAGGCGTGTCTAACACTCAACGTGAAAAGACGAGAGTAGATTTCTAAGACTCTGTGATGAAACGCGCCTCCCTTGCTCGAGCAGAAAAGTCTGCATTTATTGCATACGCAAAAAGTAGTGCCTTTGGAACACACCCTTAACGGACTCGACCCGGGATTATCGGCCCGCGAGTCGCGACATTAAGAAACTACGTAAATTCTCTACATCGAGTGAGTGTGGGTTTCCCGCCTTAGTGCGTATGTCAGCAAATCAGTATAAAAAGTGCTAGTTGTAAGCAGGAAGCCCACCTACAGGTACAGAGCCTGCACAGGTTCTTTTTTTTATTTCCCCTTTCCTCTCTATTGAATAATTGTAAGAGATAACATAAATCGTTTGCCTGCAAGACCGGCATGTTTTGGCAGTGTTGCCACTTGTCACTAACTTCTTACCGACCCTTTTGATAATAGAGAATGTTCAATGATTCCCAGTGCATTATTTTTCCCAATCACCAAGTGTTCCAGGATGCTCTCCCAGTGCAGCCATCAAAGAAAAATGTAATAGCGGCTTAACAAATGAACTACAGTCTGCTAGATGCCGTTTTAGGCTGGCTATTACACAATTTCTATCTCTTCTTGGACTGGGTTTGTATTGTGTTTAAAATTAGTCTCGGCTGCGTTTTTTAGAATGAGGCAGGCGCTGTCAGTGTGTCCTTCAAGGAGATCTGGTTGTAATATAGCGGAATCGTTTAAGAGAATATTGTCATTTTCAATAAAACTTTTTATTTTTTCCATATTTGAAATATTAGAATGATCCAATGCAAACAGTATTTTACTATTAGTGCTTCAGTTAATATATCTTCTGCGTCGGTATTTGACACTGACGATTCTGGTGGATCATCCGGTTGGGCTGGGAATTTCAGATTTAACATTGCGAGCATCTTCAATCCACGTGACATGGTGAAAAATCTAAAACAAAAAAACTTGTATCAACCAAATATTTACCAATATAGGTTACTTACAAATATTTAAAAAATATCTGAAATATTCGGGCCTTTTATAAAAATTGCAGTTGTTGTATTAAATATGTCAGGAAAAATGTGTATCTCCATAAAAATATATGAATAGAAAAAAGCTTATATCCATACAAAAAAGAAATAATAATTATTCATGTTTAAATTACACTTAATTATTTTATATACAAAATAAACTTAATATAAAAGCACTTACCTTTATATGATCACGCCAAACAAATAAAATTTTGAATTAGTTATATTTCTTTCACTAGTATTTTGCACAAGTATCACATTCAACACGATAAGCTTGATTCCGAAGATGATCCACCCGAACATAACGCTAATTCGGAAGGTATACGCGAAATTGAAACTAATAGAGAAGCTACACTTGAGTGACCCTAATAGAGAATCTCTACCTAAACAAATAATGGCTATTCTTATCAAATGTTCCGAGGTTGTCAAAAGAAGTGCTTTACATGATATGCCATCCACGAGCAAAGGTATAACTTTGATAAGTCCTGAACAAATTGCTCCTTATCCCAAAGTTCGTAAGCTTGATATTTGAAAAACTACAAATAAAAAAAAAGCTGCCATTCTTACGAGCACCCCTTATAAGGAAGAATTGGAAAACTCTTTAAAGGAAAGAAATAAAAAAGTTAATGTTAAGAAGATAGCTTTAAAAACAAACATCAACTTACTCAATGAAGAAAAATCTAAAAAGCCTTTAATCAAAACGAAAAAATTAAAAAAAAAGAGCATTGAATCATCAGAAAGCGATTATGATGCGGAATGCTTTTACTGCAACAACAGGTATTCAAAAGATGGACGTGGCGAAGGATGGATACAATGGAAACAAGAACCTTCAAACTTCTAGCAATAGACATTTAAGATCACAATCTCAATCTAGCGTAGATGGTAAACACATCCAGAAGTAAAAGGTAAAAGTGTCTTTGATTTAATTTATTTACTACAATTAATAACATTATTAAATGGATCCCTTTATAAGAGACTATAATATTCAAACAATTTCTAGCAATGTGATAGATACAAAATCTTTCGGAAATATCATCAATACTAAACAAAGAAAATCAAGTAAAGATTTTACATAAAAATATCCGAAGTATCCATAAACACTTTGATAATTTTCTGTTATTAATTAACCAATTAGATTTTGATGTGCTGATCCTTACTGAAACACATGTTATATATGATATTGATTTATATAAAATAAGGGGGTATAACATAATTTATAATTCCGGCAACTTCAACTCACATGATGGAGTTGTTGTATATATCTGCGACAAATTTACTTATAACTATAATTTGATTAAATTGGGTGTTTCAAATGCAGTTGAATTAAAAATACTAAATATACCAGATCCAATCTTAATAACGGCAGTCTACAGATCTCCCAGTTCTTGTCCGAAATTATATAATTTAGATTTATTAAACTATTTTTCAAGTTGTAAGGTCAAAAACCACATAATTACTGGTGATATCAACATAAATTTGTTAACAGATGATGACTATATTGAGGAATATAAAACGATTCTAAACTCTTTTGATTATTCCTCGTATATAAATTAAGTAACTCGAAGAGCAAGTTGTACATGCTTAGATCATTACTTTGTTAAGATTTCGTCCAAAAATATTACGGATATTAAATCTTTTATTCTGCTACACGACACAACAGATCACGATCCTATCGGTTTGATAATGAATTACCACTATTTAAAAACACCAAATATTTCTAATTTTAAAAAATTCGTTAATTACACAAAATTGAGAATTTACTTGAGCGTGGAATCTTGGAAATTCTTAGAAACATCAAACGATATAGATTTTATGATGGACACATTTATCACAATTCTTAAGAGTCACATCACCAATTGCACAAATTCTGTTAAAATTGTATCTAATAAAAAACCAAATAATAATTTAATAAAATCTATTTCGCATAAAAATAAACTTTGCAAAGATTTAAATAATCAAGAGTTGAAATCAGAATACAACAAATGCAAAAACAATCTAAGTCGTGTAATAAAAAAAAGTAAAACTAATTATGAAAACAAATGTATAAGTGATAATAAATCATCTTCAAAAAATCTATGGAGCTGTATAAATAGTATATGTGGCAAAGGGCAAACAGTAACAAAAAATATCTCAAATACTATCGAAAAACAATGACTTAATTCTTAATGACTTTCAGATCGCCAACGAATTTAACAATTTTTTTAGCGACTTGGGAGAACAATATGCTGAAAAAATTGAAGAACCGGTTAATTTCGAAGACAAAATCTCAACACTTGAAAAAAGCATGTTTTTGTCACACACTAGTGAAGAGGAAATTATAAAAACAATAAAAACTTTTAAATCAAGGAAAGCGCCTGGATTTGATGTATACTGTGATGCTTTACCCTAATTGTGACTCATATTAACCCTATTGTGACGCTTTACCTTATTGTGATACTTTACTGAATTATTTTTATTAATGTTAATAATATTTTATTTATATATATTTTTTTTATACCAAAGTTTCCACATACAAACTGACACTGCCTGCAGGTCGGTTTCAGTGGATTTATGTTTATTCATTATGTTATGTTTCTTTTAACTTTTTAAAAATTATAATGTACATTTTTATATTTATATTATTGAATAAACATTATTATTATTATTAAAAAAAAAATGTGTTAAATTGGGCATATGATACCTGTGCAGGAGTCGAAGATAATAAAGATTTCTTTGTTTGCGATTTATGTCGCAACTGACATTTTAAAATTTGTTCTTATTACATTATACAAATTACTTTTGATTTACCTACTTTTTGTATTAAATAATAAATTTTTTTATCCCATTTTACCTCAACCATAGTTTCCATTTTACCCGCACTATGCGAGTAAAATGGGAAATTAACACTATTTTTTTGTGTGCAAAATAATATCATTATTTTTAAATTTTCAATTATCAGCTTAAATTATAACATTCCAAACACGTCGTTTTTAATTATGTCAAAATATGAACCACTAAATATGAAAACTTTTGCTTTTATAATTTTTGAAACCTTAGGTATCCCATTTTAGGCAACCTTCCACCTACCTTAGAGTAGTAGAAGATATTGCATGCAGGTATTCTGACTGAATGTGTAGCATCCAGAATCCAAGGGCACTATACTAAGGAGCATACCAGATAGAAGAGGGCGTTCTACTCGACTTGAAACTACTCCAAATTCTTTATTTCTTTGAGAAACTATTTTATTGCTGTACTAGCGACAGAAGGGAGCACTATAGATCTTTTAGTTTGCCGTATAATAATCCCCATACCCAACATTCAACATTCGAAAATTATACAAACCCATCGAACGTCTAAAAATATCATTCAAAATCCATCGATGAATGACCTAAATTGTTACATAGTTTGGACTAGCAGTTACTTTTTTTCTGCAACTAGATAATCCCATTTATTTCCGCCTGCGCCACTGATCGTAACCTATCTATATAAATAAATCAACTCGATTCAAATTTAATCAATTACTTTTTAAACATTGATAAAGCAAAGACAGTGTCATTCTAAAAAAATCTAATTCCGAACACGTTACGATATCAAACTTGTACTTATTGTTTACCGGTGATAAAGATATCAGTTTTCTTTTGTTTAAAATGGCTAATTTACCGTCGCTGTACGAATACTATACAGGGGGTGGTATAACGCAAGGGTTGTCGGTAGATCAACCGCATTTTACATTAAATAATAAAAATATATCTTTGTATAGTGGATCTATGCACTATTTCCGAGTGCCTCCTCAGTATTGGAGAGATAGATTGAGGAAGATGAGGGCTGCAGGACTGAATGCTGTTCAAACTTACGTGCCTTGGAATTTGCATGAACCAGAACCAGGTAAGTGCAGCAATATTCTTTATTTATTCAGTTAATAAAAAAAAATGTAAGTACTGGTTATATAGTTTTTTTTACCATAAAATAAATATAGAAAGAAATAATACGTAAATAGGTCAATGGTCACACGTGTTATTGCACGCATTATATTACAATAATAGTTTAATTTGATATTAGATATTACTCAGGAGCACTGAAATATTTATTTTAGAAATTAGACACTAATGATGAGGCAATTTTTTGTTTAAATTATTTTTGGGACTGAGATAGGTATCTGCTCTACAAGCTACATTAAAAAAAATATTTTTTATTAATAAAAATTGTGTAGTAAAAAATAGTATACAAGGGTCTTTTAGAATAAAGTACCGTTAACTTGTAGATCTTAACTAATTATTAAGAAAAGCTAAATATAATTTTCCTGTAAATGTCACAGGGTTCATTCAACAGAGTGAAAGTAAATTATAAAAATACATAATTTTCTAAATCAATTTCTAAAATGTACTCGGATACAATTATCCTGATTATTTTTTCGGATACTTTAAAATATACTTTGTCTCATACTTTACGAATACGTTTTTGTATACTTTTAGGATACTTTGTAGAATACTTTTTAGGGAACTTTTAAAGATAGTTTTTAGGATACTTTTTATAATACTCTATAGACTACGTTTTAGAGTTTAAAGAATACTTTTTTTAAATAATTTTAGGATACTTCACAGGATACTTTTTAGAATATCTAAAAAGTACTGATACATTAAAACCTACATTAAAAAAATATTTTTTATTTATAAAATTTATGTGGTAAAAATAATATACAAGGGTGTTTCAGAATAAAGTACCGTGAACTTATGAATCTTAACTAATTATTAGGAAAAGCTAAATATAATTTTCCTGTAAATGTCCCAGTTTTCATTCAACAAGGTTATTAAGTGAATTTCACAACTACATAATTTTCTAATTAAATTTTTATTATTTACTCGCATACAAGTATCCGGATTCTTTTTTCGGATACTTTAAAATATATTTTTTTGGATATTTTTTGAATACTTTTTAGGATACTTTTTAGGATACTTTTTAGGATACTTTTTAGGATACTTTTTAGGATACTTTTTAGGATACTTTTTAAGATACTTTTTAGGATACTTTTTAGGATAATTTTTAGTATACTTTTTAGAATACTCTTTGGAATATGTTTTAAGAAACCTTTAGGATACTTTTTAGGGTACTTTTAATTACTTTTTGGGATACTTTTTAAAAAACTTTTAGGACACTTTACTTTAAAAAAGTACTGATACATTCAACTAAAATGTACCCGGATAAAAGTATTAGGATCCTTTTTTTTTCGGGTACTTTAAAGTTTAAAGAATACTTTTTAAAATTATTTTAGGATACTTTACAGGTTACTTTTTAGGATACATTTTACGATACTTTACTTTAAACAAAAGTAGTGATACATTCAACTAAAATGTACTCGAATAAAAATATCTGGATTTCATTTTCGGGTATTTTTAGGGTATTTTTTGCGATACCGTTTAGGATATTAATTAGGATACTTTTAGAATACTTTTAAGGATAATTTTTTAATACTTTTAGGATACTTTTGGGATACTTTTGGGATATTTTTGAGATACTTTTGGGGAAATTTTGGGGTACTTTTGGGATACTTTTTGTATACTTTTGGGATACCTTTGGGATACTTTTGGGATACTTTTGGGATACTTTTGGGATACTTTTAGGATACTTTTGGGATACTTTTGGGATACTTTTGGGATACTTTGGGATACTTTTGGGATACTTTTGGGATACTTTTGGGATACTTTTGGGATATTTTTGGGATACTTTTGGGGTACTTTTGGGATACTTTTGGGATACTTTTGGGATACTTTTGGGATACGTTTGAGATACTTTTGGGATACTTTTGGAATACTTTTGATATACCTATGGAATGCCTTTGGGATACTTTTGGGATACTTTTGGGATACTTTTGGGATACTTTTGGGATACTTTTGGGATACTTTTGGGATACTTTTGGGATACTTTTGGGATACTTTTGGGATACTTTTGAGATACTTTTGGGATTCGTTTGGGATACTTTTGGGATACTTTTGGGATACTTTTGGAATACTTTTGAGTTACTTTTGGGATACTTTTGGAATACTTTTGGGATACCTTTGGGATACCTTTGGGATACCTTTGGGATACTTTTGGGATACTTTTGGGATACTTTTGGGATACTTTTGGGATACTTTAGAAATTTTTTAAGAATATGTTTAGGATACTTTTTAAGATACTCTTTAGAATACTTTTTAGGATATTTTTTAGAATGCTTTTAAAAGAAGATAAAATAATATTTTATGCCAATAGTCATAATTTAGTAATTCAATGCAATTGAATACAGATAACAATATTAGGCATTTAAATAGGATTGTGATAGATCAAAACTTCAGTCCTGTATGTGTTGGAGTGAATATTAAATAGCTCTTGCACATGCAAGAAAAGAAAAGATATATAGCACATACAATGCAACAGCGTCGTCAGTGCAAAAATCATTATTTTAAATTTTATAGGATGTACCAAAATAAAACAAATCATAAAAAATAATTAATTCCCTTTAACTATCGCAATTGAATCTTAAATATTGTCATATTAAAAAAATACTTATTTAATTTCCAATTATGCAGGGTTATTCAATAGATAATAGTTCGATTATAACTAATCTAAAATTTATTTTATTTTATCGAGGTTTTTATTAAAGATAACATGGATTAGATATAGAAATTATAAAAGGGCCATAAAAAAAGAGAGGAATGATCAGTGACGAGTGAGGTATAGGATTTGAGATACGTTTGTTTAAAATACGGTGGTGTAATGGGATATATTACCGGACTCATTGGTTAAATAATAAATTAAAAGGATTCGTACATTGAAAATATTTCGGTATCCCGTTACCAGAGTTGGAGAGGATTCGAATCACATACGATTCGAATCCTTTTTGAGGATCCGAGAGCAATATTCGAATGCTTAAGAAAAAAAGGAACCGTGATCCGGATTCAACGAGGAAATCCTAAAGGATTCATACTTGAATCACCAACATTAGTCTCGGATCCTTTTAGAAACCAAACTAGGCCGACGCGAACGGTGGACTTAAGCTTTGACTTGTCGCGAAGTGTAAACTGAAACAGACTGAGACTAAAGACCGATTTTAAATATTTAGAAGATGAACATAATAATCTACAAATTAGCAATGAATATCCAACATAAAATCCTAAAATATAACACTTGCCTTCTGGTGCAGCCGAACGATTATTTTCGTTAGCAGGTATAAACAATGCACCTCGAAGGAACGACCTGACAGATGAAAACTTTGAAATTTTGGTGCTATGTAATGCCAACCAACAGACATATTTATTTAATTGTTTGATTATTGTTTTGTTTCGTGTATTAAAATAAAATGTATTTTTTGTAGGTTATAATTTATTTGTGGTTCATATCAGAGATAACTAGGAGATGTATATACTAACAAATATCGTGCGGCCCTGAATAAGACATATTCTAAGGGACACAGATGGGTACAATATCCGTTGTTGTCATATTAGTAGAGTGTATGTATTAAAATATTCGCTCTAGAAAACGATTTACCTCCCACTCTTTTGTCACAAGTTGAATTTTTCACAGATGAAAGGCCATGATAAGATATCCCTTATTCCAAAGGTAATACAAAATTAGACTGTGCAGAAGGGCACTATCATCAAACATCCAGATATTAATACCACCGAATAGAGAAAAAAATACTTATTTTTTGGTCCAATGCACAATAAAATCTTTGTAGGGAAGGAGTAATTGTTTATACTTATTTAAAAAAATCGTTTGCATTAGCCCTTACGGCTGAAAAAAAAATATAAACGTAAATATCTTGGTTTCAGCCCTTCAAAAAAATTGGTTAAAAAGTCGTCTTTTTTAAATATACCACTCATTTAACAAAAAACGAAGGCCTAAATGAAATAAAAATTCTTTATAAAATTTTTGCTTATGTGTTGACAAGGTAACAGAGCAAACACCATATTTTTTACTTTTAAATTACCAAATATATAACAATAAACGATGAGAGATGTCATAGGTTTACGCTGTAATTAATTCTCACCGCCAATTTCATGGATTCTTACAGCCGTATGCATAGTCGATCGCCAGCGACTCACCAGAGATTCATTTCGGCGTTTCGCCAGCGATTCGCTGGCGATCCGCCGGCGAAAGCCCAAAAAGGTGGCGTCTCGCCGAAGATTGTCACCGGAATGTCATTTCACGCAAGTTTTTATTTTCTTTTATAGGGATTATCACCGGTATCTCTCGCATTTTTTTCATGATTCATTTCTTAAAACTCAAAAAATAATGAACGAATATAAAATTTTTCCCTATAAAAGAACATGAAAACTTGCGTGAAATGACATTCCGGTGACAATCTCCGGCGAGTCGCCAGCTTTTTGGGCTTTCGCCGGCGAAGCGCCAGCGAATCCTGGCGATACGCCGAAATGAATCTCTGGCGAGTCGCTGGCGATCGACTATGCATACGGCTGTCAGTGTATCTTTCTCTTCACCTTCAAACGTAGCATAGCTCTGTTTCTCTCTATTTTTTTATTATAAAACTTCTCGTTATGTTCTAATGGGAAATGAATCATATTGTTATCTGTTTTTACTAAAGAATTAATAAGTGTATGTGTTATATATTAAATTACCTAATAAATTGGGAAGAAATATAGACATTTTTGCATCTTGATTATATCTACATTCATCCTGTTGCAGCTGAATATATTTATAAGTTTTCGTTTAAAATTTTAATTACGGATTTGTTGTTGCAAGTAGCAAAGACAAAAATGATTTTAAAATCATATAATAATATATAATAAGGGAAGCCCAAAAGTTGCATATAATTTAAAAAATATGTTATTATATTTGTAAACATTATTTTTAGAAATAAATTTAATGCTCAAATGATAGATGTGGTATTT